TTAGTTAGTGGCTGCAGCTGACAGGGACAGCTAACAGCAGCAGCAAAGCTAACATCAGGACGTCATCTGTTAAAGGGACATTGTGTAACATTTTCAGTTGTTTATTGGCAAAAATTGATGTCTGCATTCATAAATATGTCATCACTGGTGTACTATTACCTCCACCAATAATCTGACTTATTCTCGTAAAAGGAGAATTTTGGATTTGTTTGTACATTGTGCGGGTAAGTTGTCTGTGGGGTTCCATTACGTTTCGCCATCTTGAGAATACACCCGCCAGCAAGGGACATACAGCACCGCCTTCGGCGTTTTCGTTGAGAGCCAGGCCAGCACTGCGTGACTGAGGAGCCGAAGGAGAGGAGCAAGAGGCGCTTCGCTACTACCCTGGCAAATTTGAAACAAAGTCCCACTCTTTGAGCATAATGCAGGATCATGCATATGCAGCATCATGGGAGACGGAATCCTTGTCGCCAAGAAAGCGCAAAAGGGAATAGAAAAGGCAGCGTGACCGGCGAATTAAAAAAACGAAGGCCCACATCGGGGTAGCCTTTCCCAGGTAGAGAGAGCTGCTGAGGGAGAATGGTAATGCAATCACAGGCCAGCGCCGCTGTTGGCTGTTAGCCGCTGTTAGCGGCCAGTCGCTAACAGCCTCATCCCTCTCCTCGCATCACTGCGCCGCTGTTAGCTGTTAGCCGCTGTTAGCCGCTGTTAGCGCTGGCCTGTGATTGTATTACCTTTCTCCTTCAGCAGCTCTCTCCACCTGGGAAAGGCAACCCCAATGCTGACCCTTGTTTTTTTAATTCGCCGGTCACGCTGCCTTTTTGATTCCCTTTTGCACTTTCTTGGCGACGAGGATTCCGTCTCCCGTGATGCTGCATAATACATGATCCTGCATTATGCTCAAAGAGTGGGACTTTGTTATGCGGCAGTAGTGCCGCTGGCCACTAACAGCTGTTAGCGGCGCAGTAATGCGAGGAGAGGGATGAGGTGTGTGAGGTTGAGCCACTTGTCAGTTGTCAAAGGACAAGACGTGATTGGTTTGTTTCAATTTACATCCGCCCCAACAGTCCTACGTTGTAAACACAGCCAGCATGGTGAGGAGGGGGTTTGTCAACTCGCGTCGCGTGTGTCTGTGTAGAAGCCTGAATGAATACTCCATGTAGTATTGGATGACATGGTTTCATCAGTGTTATCATAGCTTTTTGGTACACAGCGGCTACAGTTGTTGCAATACGTGTTTGAAACAGTGAGGCGCTAGAGTGCGCCATCTGTTTGAATGCAATATATGATTTCAGCGTTAGATGGGAGAAATTCCTACACACTGTGGCTTTAAAAGCCTCCCGTTGTTGGATACGACATGAAACTACTCCAGTTAGCTCAACCCAGTACAAGATCGTAGGATCAGTCTGATAATATCGGTTTTCTCCCCAAAAACAATCCAAAACTACACTGATTTCAGCACCAGAGAGGAGATATCTGTTGCCAGATCTCTCAAGAGTGTGTTGTTGAGACAGAGACAGGTCTTGAAAAAAGTAAATTTTCTCCTGATTTGTCCGTCTGAAATTTGCCATTTTGGTGTCGGAATGTTCTGAAGATATGTGGCTTGTGATAAATGAGTCCAACATTTGCTTCCGTGGCTATGGGGCGAAAGAATCGGCCATAATCTGTAATCACGTTCATTTCTCCCACTGAAGTCAATGGACCTGCTGTTAGTCTCCTAAAGGGGCGTGGTGGTCGCAAACCCCACATGACAATGATACAGGAAACTAGCCTCGCGTCACCAGGCTCTTCACGTACGGGAAGGAGCCTGGTTTCCATTCACTCTGAATTTTGTCTGGATTCTGGTTCCAGTCTAGAGAGCGGATCCAAAATTCACCACATTCACCAAAGTAAAAGTGTAAAACTTTAAATTCTGGCGCACCATCGATTTACAATAAAAGAAAAAAGTTAACTTAATGGCTTGGGGCTTTTCTTGTAAATTATATTCTTTAAATTGAAAAGTTTCACCGCGTTTTTTTTAGCTTGGTGCTTTTATTTTGACGGAAAGGCGCATCCATCGAATTCCGGGTCCTGTCTCTCTCGCCCTGGTTCCGGTTCCTTACCAAAACGGCCACTAAATGGCCACAGGCTACAGGAAACTGACTCGCAGTGGACTGTCTTGGTTTATCCACCGTCTTTGGTTGGGCATGAAGTTACAAGCACAATGGCAGACGGACAAAGTTTGGAGACAAGTGAAAAATGGCCTAGCAAAAGAAAACGAGCTCCTCTGTCTGAGGAGGCAAAGAAGAGCAAAACGAGAGTGATAAAAGAAGAGGAAAAACAAGAATAATCCTCAGTCAGGCGTTCAAGAGATGGAGGGAGCTCCGTGACCAAAGGATTCAAAACCGATGTCCTGCTAGCTTTCTTTCTAATGGATCAGGAAGTAACACGGCTAAATGTAAGCTAGACGAGAGAGGACTGTACTGTACTGGCTGCTAGTTAATTCCTAGAGCATTGCAAATTTCTGCCTGCCTGGCATCCTTCTGCCTCTCTGGCAGGCAGCATCAATTTCGCCACGGTCCCTAACCGTGCCCCCCTCCCCCCCGCTACCTGCCGTCTTATGTAATGTGATGCTGCTGAGTGACAAACTGACAGTCGGGTGCCATCGTCATGAATAGGCAAAAGCCCTCTGGGGCGCAGTACAAAAAAAAAAAAAAAAAAAA